CCGCCCCCCACCCCCCGCCGCAACGGACACCGGAGGTAGAGCAAACGGACGGTGAGGGTGATGAAGGTAGCCCGGCGGCGGGGGGCGGTAGTATGGAGGAAACTGGTGGTGGAAAACGGCGTTTGCGTTTGCGGTTGCGTTTGCAGTTGTGTCGGTTTCCTTGCGGTGGAAGTTGCGGTGGCAGCCGCAAGCTGCGCACTTTAGCGATTCGAGGGTGCCCTCTTCGCCAGAGGGCATGAACTCTCCGCATCCGTCGACGGCGTGGCCGCCGATGCTCACGGCGTGGTTCTTTAGACACTCTCTGTACCTCACGGCGCCGCCACCGGAGGAGGTGGCTCCTTCGCCGGCCATCCTCGGCCTGCCGGAGGAGGAGTTGCTCAGTGAGTCATATCCGCCGTGCGGAACACCGGACATCTCCATCTCCTCCGCTTGCTCCTCAAAATCCATCTCTCTCTCTCTCTCTGTGTTTCTTCTTGATGCTATTTTTGTGCTTTTTTTTTGGCTTATGGGATCTTTCTTGGATATCAAAGAGACATGCCCGGTTTCAGGTGGCGAGAAGAGGAGAAAGGATTTGGGTAAATTGTAGTGTGAAATTACGAGTACTGTTTTAGAAAATAATAATTAATGAGCTTTAATATCCTGCTAAATTTTTGTAATAAAAAAACTTTATTTATTTAAAAAAACTTAAAGAAAAAGGATGAAAGAGGTGAAGATAAGAGTGAGATGATGAGAATGTGGCCATCAATTCCTCCTAGCCTGATTCTGAGTAAAAGGGCCTCTCGATTTTGTAATTTTACATTTTGGCATAACTCTTATTTATCATAATTTTGTAAGTTCTATAAGATATGGGAAACACTAATATTGTAGAAAGGGTAATGCTATTCGAATCTAACATATAATCGTTCCAGAAATTTCATGTGGAAAATTTAAATTTAAATTCGAACTCCAAAATATGCAATGCCAACTTATGATCGAATATAAAGATTAAAAAAAAATTCAAAATATAAACATTTTTTTATTTATTTGTCTTAATTAGAAATTCATATACACTAAAAAGCTATACGAAATAAATAAATATATATATATATATAATTGTAAATATTGTATAATTATATTCGGAGTCGTAAAATTTTGGCAATGGTAAATATTTGGGGGAATAAAGATTTGAAATTTGTGGGCGTGAGGTACCTTAGGGTTTGGTGCAGTTTACGGACTGAGGGGTTTTTGTCCGCTTGCTTTCTTTTGCCCCAAAACTGACCAAAGTGGATCTCAAGTGGCGAAAGCAAAAGTGATAAAAGGCTCTGCTTCCACAAAAGATGACGTATAAGGGTATTTCCGTCATTTCACTCAAAACATACATTATTTTTCTCTTTCCTCTGACAAACATTTCCTTCCTTTTCTCTTACAAAATATTGCCTGTTATCCGAATATCCGTGTAAGGGCATGCGAATTAATTATAATTCTATTTCGTAAAACTAAAATGTTTGTAATTTTTTTTAATAAGATCCAAAACCAAATCCAAATTAAAACAACAATACCTGAATTTTAATTTTTAAATATTTTTTTAAGAATTTATCTAGAAAATCTTAACAAATATTGAATTTAAATTAAACCAAATTAAATAGATATAAATTTTCAAAATTAAAAAAAAAAACAAATGGAATGAGAACCAAGTAAATCACGACCTTGTAGTCTGTAGATATTATCACGCGTCGCTCTTTCTTCCAAAGATGACGTATAAGGGTAATTATGGAAATTTCTTCAAAATATACATATTTTTTCTGTCGTCCAACACATATATCACACGTTGCTCATGTCCGAGACAATTTTTGCCTTCCCATATTTGTAATGTGATCCAAGGGTTGTAGTTGTTGCTTGAGTGCTTAATTCTTTAAATTTTTTTTCCAATAACAGATTGAAATATTATTGAAATTCTCGTTTTTTAAAGCATAACGCGGCATTTTCTGTTATCGGGTTGTATAATTTCAGCAATTTCTTGTTATATTATTGGAAAAAATAGGCAACGTATCCCAATTTCCATTAATTAGATAATTAAAATATAAATTAAATAAATAAAATATAAATTTATAGTTTGTTTAAAAACTATTTCAAATATGAAAAAGAAAACCATTCCATATCCAAATTAATAAAAATGTTGTAAAAAATCCAAAACAACAGTTTCTATGAAAACCATAAATAAGAACACTATTAAAAATTATCAAGAACACAAATAAATTAGAAGTTATTTCAACTTCTTGACGAAGCACTAATACTTACTTATGAAGATAATCTTTAATTTAGATTGTTCATCGAAAATATTGTTTTAGGTACTTTCGGTATTTTTTTCAATAGCTTACATAGTAATTTGTTTTTTAAGGATTTATGTATTTTGAGAACAAAATTAAGATTCAGATATTAATTGTCTAAATCAACTTAAAATCATTATTTTTTTATCACCATTCTCCCTATATTATTGTACTTCTCGTTATTCATTTAATATAATAACTTGTTATATATAGTTCGATAGAAACGTCAAATTTCCAACCATTAGTATAGTTGAAGACTATTTTTACATAGTCCACTTAGAAAAAAATCCAAGAAATATGGTCGGAATAGACACGTTCATTTGCTGTTTGACACATTGCAAATTGCAATTGAACGAGAAAATAAATGAATATTCTCGATTTTCTTTGCATTTTTCACAAATGGATATTAGTATTCACTGTCCATATATAAGAGATACTGTTAACAATTTAAGGGATAGTGTTGTGACAATTTACTGTGAGATATTGCAGAATATATCAGAATTACGCAACCTTTCTATAGCAACCTCCATAGTAGAAAGTAGGAGGGGCGTTTCGATACGGTTTTTCATAATCGAACCGTAATAAACCGGAAAATATGATATTTTTTCTGAACCGAACCATCTAAAATTTTAAACAATATTTTTTTTATTAAAATATGATATTTTTCTTGAACCGTTCGAATAAACCCAATATATTGAACAAAACTCAAACCATCGATCCTTATATACAAATGTATATATGATTATCAAATTTTATGGTTTTTGTTTGATACTTGTATATAAAAAAAAAATCATTTCGAACTGAATCGACAAATAAAACCGAATCGAAATGAACTAATTAACATTTGATTCTAATTTGATACAATTATTTATATAAACGAATAAACCGTTCTCGAACCGAATCTGAACGCAAAATTGCGATATCATGACTATATAACATAAAGAAAATGCGAGCTTCTAAAGATGAATAGAGATATCTAACAAATGGGTGAAAACATCCGTTGTTTTCTATGTGATGTTATTTTTCTTTATCGTATATCGGACATCATAGTTTGATCTAATATTATCGGATCACACACACACATATATATATATATATATCAAATGGTGCATAGTATTATTTTTTAGAAAAAAATGCATTTAAATACCTAAACTTTTACAAATTTCCTAAATAAATAACTAAACTATAAAACTCTAAAATAAATATTTGAAACCAAAATTCATCAACAGCGTTAAATTTATAACGAAATCCATCGATAACTGACGACTTAGCCGTCAACGAATATTGTTTCATTTGGTAAATTTTTAAAATTTTGGATATTTATGTAGAAATTTTGAAACGTTCAGATATTTATTTGAAAATTTTATGGTTTAGGTGTTTATTTGGAATTTCGTAAGAGTTTAGATATTTAAATGCGATTTTTTTTTTAATATATAAACAAAATCTTTTGGCTGACTGTGAAGCAAAAAAGATACTCAAAGTTAAGCCGAAGAGATTTTCAACGGAACAAAATCTTTTCGCTTATTGTGAAGCAGAAAATATACTCAACGCCTAATACTTCCACTGGAAAATGCTAAGTGTGTTTTGTGTAAGATTTCACGTGAATATGTTTGTTGTATCCTCATAATTTACGTTGTGGACGGAGTTTTGGATCGCTGAAATTAGGGTTTTATTACGTGGGTGAATTTCATATTTTTTTCGATTAGCATTTAGATTTTAGATTTTTTTTTTACTTTTCTAAAGAAACAGGATTGCAGATTACTTTTGAAACTTAGAATTCAGATTTGAGTTTAGGATTTTTTAGGGTTTAGGGTTTTTTTTAAAAGAGAGAAATGATTCATTTTGTTTAAATTTTTTAACGAAACGTGCCATAATTTCGCCTACCATTATGAATAAAATATTCCATGTTTTTTCGTAAAATTCCCTAATTTTGAATAATATGATATTGTTAAACGAAAATACATCAAAAGAAATAACTGGCATTAAAAAAAAGAAATAATTGTTATTTATTTACAATTAAAAGGAATATTGGGGCAGAGGAGGGCCCCTACCGCACTCCTACAGTCTCTTTCGTTGTCAGGTGCTGGGGAACCAACTGACGTTTGCTCCCCTTACTTTTTATTCACCATATTGAAAACAAAAAATGTGAATAACATTATTAATATATATATATAATTAATATATATATATATATATATATAAATTATATATATATATATATAT